CAGATGTCGATTAATACGGAGAAGGGGACGACTTATAGTAATTTGTTCCAATCCCAGACATAAACAACGACAGGGATAATAAGACTTCGCAACTTAACTTAGTAAACTAAACCAATTATAGAAATGAAAGAATCGTGAAATGGATATATCCATATAGTATATCGCTGACTCAGATTTACAAAATGCTTAATGGTAAAATATATATCGAGGAATTAGTTCGCGTAGGAAGGGGGGACGTATTGGTTCACGTCAGAATGCACGTAGAATACCAAAAGGAGTAATTCATGTTCAAGCCAGTTTCCATAATACCATAGTGACTGTTACAGATGTACAGGGACGGGTAGTTTCTTGGTCCTCTGCCGGTACTTCTGGATTCAAAGGAACCAGAAGAGGAAACACCTTTCGCTGCTCAAACCGCGGTAATAAATGCTCTTCGTAAAGTAGTGAATCGAGGTATGCTACGAGCCGAAGTATTTATAAAAGGTCCCGGTCTCGGAAGAGATGCAGTATTACGAGCTATTCATAGAAGCGGTATATTATTAACTTTTATAAGGGATGTAACCCCTATGCCACACAATGGCTGTAGACCCCCCAAAAAACGACGTGTGTAGAAATCAAAAGTGAACCTATATCAAGAGAAATAGAAGATTCACTAATATACTAAATCAAAATTTTTATGGTTCGAGAGAAAGTAGCAGTATCTACTCGGACACTACAGTGGAAATGTGTTGAATCAAGAATAGACAGTAAACGCCTTTTTTATGGCCGCTTTATTCTATCTCCACTTATAAAAGGTCAAGCCGATACAATAGGAATTGCGATGCGAAGAGCTTTGCTGGGAGAAATAGAAGGGACATGTATCACACGTGTAAAATCTGAGAAAGCCTCGCATGAGTATTCTACCATAGGGGGGATTCAAGAATCGGTACATGAGATTTTAATGAATTTGAAAGAAATTGTATTGAGGAGCAATCTATATGAAAGTTGTGATGCGTCTATTTGTATCAAGGGACCTCGACATGTAACTGCCCAAGATATAATATTACCCCCCCATGTACAAATTGTTGATAACACACAACATATAGCTTGGTTGACGGAACCTATTGATTTTTTTTATTGGATTAAAAATAGAGAGAAATCGCGGATATTTCAACAAAGTGGACCTTCACTTTGACGATGGAAGTTATCCTATAGATGCTCTCTTCATGCCGGTTCAAAATGCAAATCATAGTATTCATTCTTATGGGAATGAAAAAACAAGAGATACTTTTTTTGGAAATATGGACAAATGGAAGTTTAACACCAAAAGAAGCACTTCATGAATCCGCCCGAATATTGATTGATTTCTTTATTCCTTTTTTCCAGATGGAAGAAGAAAACTTATATTTAGCAGATGCAAAACACACAATTCCCCTACCCCCCCTTATCTTTTATAATAAAAGTGACTACACTTATAAAAAAAAAAAAGAAACTTTCATTGAAATTAATTTTTATTGACCAATTAGAATTCCCTCCCAAGATATATAATTGCTTGAAAAAGTCAAATATATTTACATTATTTGATCTTTTTAATCAAAAACAAGAAGATCTTTTAAAAATAGAACATTTTCAACTAGAAGATATAAAACATATATTGGGGATTCTAGGAAAATATTTTGCACTGTATTGATTATAAACTTAGGTTTAATTAATAAAAAAAATAAATTGAAACATTCATGAATATGAATTGACGTGTATCTAGGAAGAACTTTCAAGAAACGCTTCCCTAGATACACAAGCTTTGGTTTTTTTTTAAATTGAATCAAAACTCCACAAAACAATTTAAAAAAGACCTAAAGTGAGGGATTTTTCAATAGGTAATGTTTGCACCAATGCCCAACCAAAAGGTAACTCCGGGTACCAATAAAAAACACAGTGGTTGCTACTGGACGACGAAATGGGTTTTGGAATTTATTAACATTCTCTAAAAAAGGTACTGTTAATAATCCCGTAGGTACTGAAAGCATTAAAAGAACACCTAATATTTTATTAGGCACTGTACGAAGTATTTGAAATACAGGAAAGAAATACCATTCAGGTAATATTTCTAACGGGGGTTGCAAAGGGATTTGCGGGTTCACCAATCATTGAGGGTTCTAGAACTGCTAAACCTACATTACATGCAATAGTACCAAGAATAACTACTGGAAAAATATATAAAAGATCATTGGGCCATGCGGGTTCCCCCGTAATAATTATGACCCATACCTTTTGCCAATTTAGCTCTTAATACAGGATCATTCAAGTCAGGTTTTTTTATTATTGGGATAGGTGAAGTCTTAGAGATCCATCCCCCGAGGGAACCGGACATGATCATTTTTAATCATCCAGCTCGAGCAAGACTCAAACAAATAATTAAAAAAGAATTAATCATTATATGAATGAACAAATACATTTCTAAAGCTAGGTAGTTTATAGGTTATCTTAGAGTCGTTAAGAGTCTTTATATTCATTTATACACAAAAGATAATCTATGATATAGAAATAGTTCAATGTAAAAGAAAAAATTTGTTTTTATCAAGTGAACCTTCTCTAGTCAAAAAATTAAATTTCTTTTCTTATTTGCTTACGCGTCAATACTCAAGACCCAAGTAGGCTTAATTTTCTGATAGGATCAAGTGCTTTTTTGGGTCGTCTCCAACCTTAGAATGCGTATTTATCTGAAACTATTTTCAAAAAGTTTTCATATTTTAAGATACGCAGAAAGGTTTACTTGTTACTAAAAAAAAGTCCAGTTTCTTTTCTTCGTTAGATCTCTTGTTTCACTCCGATAGTATTATCGAGATCGGACCAATGGAGAGGAAATGACTCCATTTACAGATTCTATATTAGCGTTTAAAATGTTAAATAAAAATAAAAAGTTTCTAGGATCTTTTTATATTCAATATTGGATTTTACGGAGCCTAATCATGTATAACATGATTTTTTATATGATCATAGAATAAATTATCTTCAAGGGAACCAGCTTATCCCTCACATAAGGCTTATGCGCCAATTGGAACAAAGACACATTTGGGTGGTGATAATTCAAATGTGGTAGGCTTATATCTACATGGACCAATCAATAGTTCAGGTCGCACACTCCCATAATCCATTTTATCGTAAAATTGATCTTCAACTTCAAAGAATTCCCCTCGCCTATTTGTGTATTCATGTAAAAAAAAAAGAATATAGGAAGGGTGAAGATAAATATAAAAAACCATTTCTTATTCTTTTAAAGAATGGATTTTTTTTAGCAATGAAATACTATTACCCCTCCTCCAAGTGAGAAATAACATATCTTACAAATTTTTTTTATTTAGGATCTCTTTTTATTTCTATTTTGATTTATAAAGGACCAGAAATACCCTGTTTACGTATCATTGAAAAGTGCATTAACATAAATACGGCAGTAATAAGAGGCAAGACAAAAGTGTGTAAACTATAAAAACGAGTCAAGGTGGATTGCCCCACACTAGCGCTTCCTCGTAAAAATTCTACCAAAGGTGATCCTATTACAGGAATAGCTTCGGGTACACCTGTTACAATTTTCACTGCCCAATAAACCTATTTGGTCCCGAGGTAACGAATAACCGGTTACGCCAAAAGATGTTGTCAATACAGCTAAAATTACACCTGTAACCCAAGTCAATTCACGAGGTTTTTTAAACCCACCTGTCAGATACACACGAAATACATGCAGAATCATCATCAATACCATCATACTTGCTGACCATCGATGAACCGATCGGATTAACCAACCAAAGTTCGCTTCAGTCATTATGTATTGAACAGAAGCAAACGCCTCTGTAAGGGTCGGACGATAGTAAAAAGTCATAGCAAACCCGGTAGCTACTTGTACTAAAAAACACGTAAGCGTAATTCCCCCCTAAACAATAAAAAATATTGACATGTGGAGGAACATATTTACTAGTTATATCATCTGCAATCGCCTGAATCTCCAGACGTTCTTCGAACCAATCATAGACTTTATTGAGATAGGGTAATTTCCCCCCCCTGAGAACCGTATATGAGACTTTCATCTCGTACAGCTCAACCAAAAATGTCCAAATACTCATTGCGCCGGCCAGACCAACACATAGATTATATTCAATAAAATGCGAAATCTATTATTTCTTATTGATTTTTTTGGCACTAATACAAACATATCAAGTTAGCTCAGTTGTCTTTATTTTTATTTTGACGGGCTTTTTGAAGCTTCTCTTTACCTATCTTTTTTTTTATGGAATGATTCTTTTTTTATTTGTTTTGTTTATTTGATTGGATAGGAATTACCTTGTTAAGACCCTATAAATCGAAAAAAACCTAAGATTCCTATTTAGAACCACGATTAAAAAAATTGAAACGTAATCAAGGATTCCCTGAGTAAGAACCTTTTTAAAATTAACTTTAACCATACTAAATAGATGGAATTTTTATTTTTGGTCATCCAGAAGGTTTTAAATAATCAAACCTTCTTGGTTTCAAAATTTTTTTGGAACCCGGGCACGAGGTCTTAATAGGAAGTCTGAATCATAGTTCAAATAGATCTCGTGTTTCAGATACTCGAATCCATATCTGACGAATCAAATAATCTCTGGTAAGTAAGATAACCAAATTTTATGGACTATGAATAGGATCCTTTATAACAAGTCACACACTCATATTCCGGAAATGATAGAAATAAATAAATAACACGATCGAACTACCACAATTACATAAAATAGAATGCATTCTAAATCTTAGTTAAAAGGGCGCCGCTTTGAATAAAAAAAGTGGGACTAGGTTTCAATTCATTGAAATTCCATCCAATAAAACGGAAGAATTATAAATCTCTAAAATAATAGATAGAAATATCGCGAATAAACCCATTGCCAAACCCATTAAAGGTGTTGTTCCCCACCCCGGAGCTACTTTACCGTATTCTGAATTCAATGGTTTTAATAAATTACCGATAGTAGTTTGTCTTGGACGATATTGAGAACCTTTCTCACTAGTTTTTGTAGCCATAAATCCTCTTTTATTCAATTTTATTTATTGAGAGATCTGTTAACTTTGTATACCATTGCGTTATAAAGAAATGATCTTAGCATAGATCCTTTGGAGTATTTTAATTATATACTAATAAAAAAATGGAAACAGCAATCCTAGTGACGATATTTATATCCGGTTTACTTTTTAGTTTTACTGGGTATGCCTTCTATACCGCTTTTGGACAACCTTCTCAACAGCTAAGAGATCCATTTGAAGAACATGGAGATTAGTTGAAGTAATAAGCCTCCCCACGGTGGAGGGCTTATTACTTCAAGTTACTATAGCGAAAAATTATTTGATCTTTTTCATTGGTACTTTAGGGGGTTCTCGAAAAAAGATAGCGAAAAATATTATTCCTAGAGTCGAGACTAAGAGGAATGTATAAACCAATGCTTCCATAAATTACATCGTAGTTTCCAATTATAGCTTTCCTACCTATTTTTGTTTTTTTTATCCTATATCTTACCCTATATCTTACTTCGCTTCGGATAAAGAAAGAACGAAAGACAGATATCAAAATAATAGGATAAATGATATATCAGACAGCTTGTCGTCTTGTCGTTGGATCTCCCAGTTTTTGGAATACTCCAAACTCTACTTGCACATCTAAATCTGGGTCAATCCCAGCAAAAACATCTCTGAAAAGGGTTCTAGCACCATGCCAAATGTGTCCGAAAAAGAAGAGCAATGCAAATGAAGCGTGCCCAAAAGTAAACCAACCTCTTGGACTACTCCGAAAAACCCCATCAGATTTCAAAGTAGCACGATCTAATTCAAAAATTTCACCGAATTGAGCGCGTCTAGCATATTTTTTCACAGTAGCCGGATCATTAAAACTTACTTCATTGAGTTCACCACCGTAGAACGCAACAGTGACTCCTACTTGTTCAACACTATACTTCGATTCTGCCCTTCTAAACGGAACATCGGCTCTAACAATTCCATCACTGTCTACTAGAATAACTGGAAATGTTTCAAAAAAAGTAGGCATACGGCGTACAAAAAGTTCACGCCCTTCTTTATCTCTAAAGACAGGGTGGCCTAACCATCCAACTGCTATTCCATCCCCGTTATCCATCGAACCTGCTCTGAATAATCCTCCCTTTGCTGGATTATTACCGATATAATCATAAAAAGCTAATTTTTCCGGAATTTTCGACCAGGCTTCTGATAAACTTTGATTTTCTGCTAGTCCCGTACTAACTCTTCGATATATCTCTTGTTGGAAATAACCTTGGTCCCATTGATAACGGGTGGGGCCAAATAATTCAATTGGGGTAGTCGCCGAACCATACCACATAGTTCCAGCAGCTACAAAAGCTGCAAAAAAGACAGCAGCAATACTACTTGAAAGGACGGTTTCTATATTTCCCATACGTAATCCCTTGTATAGCCGTTGAGGCGGACGGACACTAAGATGGAATAACCCCGCTAAAATGCCCAGTGTTCCAGCTGCAATATGATGAGAGGCTATTCCTCCTGGAACAAAAGGATCAAAGCCTTCCACACCCCAGGCAGGATTAACAGGTTCTACTTTTCCTGTTAGGCCATAAGGATCGGATACCCAAATTCCGGGACCATACAAACCCGTTACATGGAATGCACCAAAGCCAAAGCAAGTAACCCCCGCAAGAAATAAATGAATTCCAAAGATCTTAGGTAAATCCAAAGAGGGTTTTCTAGTCCGTTCATCACAAAAGACTTCTAGATCCCAATACACCCAATGCCAGATAGCTGCCAAAAAACATAACCCAGAAAACAAAATATGTGCGCCAGCTACACCTTCGTAACTCCAAAGACCGGGAGTCGTTACAGTCCCTCCTGTAATATCCCAACCCCTCCAGGAATTAGTTATTCCTAACCGAGTCATAAAGGGTATTACAAACATACCTTGTCTCCACATTGGATCAAGAACCGGGTCGGAAGGATCAAAAACCGCTAATTCATACATAGCCATGGAACCAGCCCACCCCGCAACCAAAGCTGTATGCATAATATGAACCGAAAGCAACCGACCAGGATCATTCAATACAACAGTATGAACACGATACCAAGGCAAACCCATGGAAATACCCCTTTCATCAAAGATAAATAGACACTGCGTAACTTTCTTGCATTGTAAAAACAGAAAAATACAAGGCTATTACTCATCCTAGGGACCCCACATTGCTATTTTTAAACGTATTTTTTCAGAATAGAGCATCCATTTTCTAAAGACAAGCAGATTTATTCTATACTCGATAAGTATGAATCTGCAACATATACCTTTATTGCATATATCAACGAACCAAGTTACATTTATTAAAGTTATTCTGCTTTATTTTGTATTCTAATTTGAAATTTACGTATTTTTAGATTAGAATACTCTATCTCTTTTGATATAGATATCTAGTTGTTTTTTTAGTTTTACGTTTCCTTATCAAAGTGAATTTGAAAATAGAAAATCTTTTTTTTTATGCCCATTGGTGTTCCAAGAGTACGTTTCCAATATCACGAAGATAAAAGTGCAGTGTGGATTGATATATAGTGTGACTTGTAAGATATATTGAGTAAGTTGGGATTTCCCCAGTATCTCCCCCGATAGAGATAGACCCCGTTTCACCTAGATAAACGACCGGAATGGTCCAAAATTTGGAGCGTGAAGTGACAAGGATAACCTTTTGGGGGAATTTTAATACTAGTCCTTAGTATGGTTGGCTTGGTTGGACTCAAAAAATGAAGTATTCAGGCTCCGTTTAAGAAAAAGAACATCGGTAAGATATCGACGATTTTCAATTGTATCACAACTGATTCCTATACTTTGAAAAAGTAAATATAGATATACTCTTCTTCGCGTATCTAAAACTTGAAAAAACTTGGTATAAGATAAGGTCTAAAATGAATTGAAGAGAAAAAAAAAAAAACACAAAAAGCAATCAGAGCATATTTGTTCTATATATACAAATATGAATTGGGCGAATACTTACCCGGAGGAGAGCAG